AGAGGTTAATTATATATGTGTGCGTGTGTGTACGCACGCGCGTGTGCCTACATGTACAAAGATAAATGTATCTGTTATTTTCATAATCTTTTCTACACTTGGTTGTTCGTGAATATGTTTAATTCTATGTCTTTTTATACAGCGATTTTTACAAATTTTCACTTGATTCTTTCGCTGACAGAATCTTTCCCATTGCAACTGAACAGAACCCCCTCCCGTTGTGTTGTCTGATCCACGCAAACTGAAATTACGGTCCTCTATCCAAACTCGTCCTTCATCACTCAGTACGAGACCTATACCGTGCCATCTTATTTTAAACCCTCCAAGGACAATAATCCGGTTGAAATTCATCAAATGAGGGTCAGTGGGACATGCGGGTCGTATCCACTTTGGGTGGGGTCCGTACAAACAAGGAAAACCGTAATATTAATAGAGTTTTTTTTATATCCTTAGAATGTAAGTGAAAAAAAAAAAAAAACTACGACAAGCAATGTCCCCGATGAGGCATGAATTTATATTGGGAGAAAACAGTGGAGGAAATTCTTGTTTTCACTATATTGGAAACTATATTGGTTACATTTGTAATATAAGTTGTGTGCAAAAGTTTCTAGTCTATATTAAATCTTTAGTCTTCATAAAAGAGCACTGGAAACTTATACATGTAATATTATTACAAATACCGAAATAAATATTAGAATACTTTCATGATATAATCATTTTTTATTTATGATATATATATATATATATATATATATATATATATATATATATATATATCTGTGTGTAAGTTGGTGCTCGCTGATGCAAAGGTTGAGGTGGTACAATGCTTCATTATACTTCAGTTCGGTCAAGGTGTTTTTTTAGTGTAGTATTATGTTTGTGAAATACACAAACATGATACTTCACTAAAACTACGTTGTTTAAATGTTGGATGTCATTTTCACCTGATTTTCACACTAAGACATACACAGAACGCACACACTCAATTAAGGAAAGAAATCGAATCATCCTTGATAATGGCTAAAGGTATAGCCGAAAGCGCTCGGAAATATAAAACATTTGGACAGTTCTTACACACCCTTTGTCCAAAAAAGAAAGCTCTTGTTCGAACACAAGAAAAATTAAATAAAAAGCTTAACCATAGTACCTTTTCTGTCTTTTAATATACATATATATATATATATATATATATATATATATATATATATATATATATATATATATGTATGTATGTATGTATGTATGTATTTTTTAACAAGTTAAACTTAACATCCACTAATTTTGGAGAGTATCGACAAAACTCGTCATCTTTCCTTAAGTTCAGTACTTCTATAAAAGTAATAGAATAATTTAAAAGTAATATAATAATTTATATAATTTGCACTTATTATTTATTTTATTTTACTTATTCTATATATTATGATTATCACATCAAGCTATATATGCATTAATTATTATAATTTCTTTTAAACTTTTCCACTCTTACCGGCCTATTCTGTATCAGGATTTATTTGGTCTTGTATAACATGAAGATCGTTTGTCTTATTTTTGCATTTTGTCTTTGTTTAAGTAAATTTATATTTACCAACTTTGCATTTTCTACTCTCGTTCATTTTTTATCAAATGATAGTTTAGGTGTCAAAAAAACAGTATTAATGATTTTATTGTATGTTAAATAATGACTTTATAATCTCTGAGTATTTTAAACATAAATCCCGATATATATTTTCGTTTTTTGTTTCTACCATTGCTGGTGGCAAAATGTTTTATTCGTGAAAGATCTTTCATCATTCTTAGATATGCTAACAGGATTAAAATCTCTCAAAATTATGAGGGCAGAAATCTAGGAACTGAGATGGTGATGGGAGTATAATGTATAATTTTATGTTTGTAACATGAAGGTGTCGATGTTGATGTTAGTGATTGTGGGGACTATGGCGGAGGCGTTGGGAGGCGTTGGTAACGTCCAAGTGCCCAACATCAGGGCTTATTTTTCCAGCCTTCCCATTTTAAGATTCTGTCCCGCTGTGCAAGGCAGAAAGTGTGTATTTAGAACACCGGAAGTCCAAAAAGCACTAGGTCCGAGAGAAGAAATAAAAACATGGCCGAGAAACTATGAAACGAATAAGGGAATGAATTGCAAAAACACGTTGCTTTTAAAAACGCCAAGAAAAGAAAAGTAGAAATGAAAATTTAGACGTAAAGATGTAAAATCGTTTGTTAATATTGAAGATCGTTTGGCTGACGCGATAAAGCGAGATTTAAAATCGACAACTTCATTTAATTTTTGCCACATATATATATATATATATATATATATGCACACAGACACACGCACACACTCACAAACACGCACATATATATATATACATATGTGGCCAGGAAAAAACAGGAAGCGAACAAAGAGTATGGCAGAGAGTGGTTGAGGGGTTTGATGAAATTTAAAACTGATGTTCAAGAACTCTACAGGAAGAACGGAACTCGGCCGAGTTCTTGAAAT